ATTGTAATTAGCGCCATGGGAAGGTCGCTGTTGGAGGGAGGTGCTTGCGTTACCGAGGCTTGTCCATAGGCCGGGCCAGGTAATGCCAATCTCAGGGTTTGCAGTGCGAGCATTGCTGTCGTGAATCGCGCATAAAGAGAATTGGTCTGGGAGTGCATGAGGTGAACATTCCGCGTGTATCATATGATACAAACCAAACGTTTCTTATTTACTGTCTTGCATCTAGAGTCCAGTCAATTTTGTGACGGGGGCGTGACTGGACAGGTGGATGGATTTGTTTGTCAGAAGGGATTTGATTGCGTCATGATGCTTCAGATTTGAAGCCAAGCTATCTAAGTACACGTAAATACATTTTAGTAAGGATTCAGCAGGGAAGATGGTGTGCTTGAGGAGGAGGATGCGAGCAGCTTGGGAAGGCATCAGCTCCACATAATAATCTGTTTACAGAACAAAACCAGTCGATGGCTCAAGGACGTGCTGTGCATGCGGCATTTGCCAATTTGGCAGTGACAATAATTAGATAAAGGCGAGGCATCGAGAGCAGGGTAAGAGATGGAGCGTGTGCGCTAGGGTGTGGTGCATCGCTTGCCCGTATCAGCTGGTATGAAGAGCTTGAAAGCCGACTGGGCAATGATTGAGACACTTTGCATAAGAGAGAAGAAGTCTCTCATTGATTGCGCTCTCAGGTGTTTGCTATAATGTATGCAATGCATGTAAAGCGCAATCAGCTAAATTGTTTGTTCCTTGAGTTGAGCCTTCCCAGCTACGATGGGGGTGCTGTTACACCATTTGGCGGCGGGGAATCCTCACAGCGGTATCCACTGTGACCAAGCGGATATGTTGCTGATCCGTATTATATTGTTCTAAATCTATTTCAACGAGATCTGCGGTCCCAATTGATTGCTCGCCAGTGTTGCCACCGTCGGCGCCCGTCAAAATTGTTGATGGTGAAATGTAGTGAATCCTGCATCTGGAAATTCGGTAGGCGTTGATGCAACATTGATAGGGCCTTGCATCAACGCCGCTCTACAAACATGAGCTCTGAAGGTTAGCGTTGATCCACGGGCCTTTCAATTTTGCACCAAAGCCCACCAAAATTCCGGATCCCAGAGCTGACAAAGGGGGTCGTTGATGCCGCATTGCCGCAACGCTGCTCTTTTGGAAACTGTGCATCAAGATGCCTTGTTGGAGGGCTGATAAAAGCACCGATGTCACAGAGCCATTGTTTAAAGTGCAGTTCAGCAATGCTGGCGATCATATTTTCAAGGGCCCCCTTGGGTGTATACCCTCACTCGGGTGTGCCTATGCACCCAAGGCGGAATGCATGGCGTTGCTGTGCGAGCATGGCATTCTTGCCTGCCTTTCCTGCTGGGGTTGGGAATGCAACTCATTTATGGTAATTGCGAGCATGGAACACAATTGTAGATTCTTCGAAACAGTCGGTATGTAAGGTAACGTCTCCTCTACACGGAACCGGTTCCCCTCCAGTACAGATAGTCTTCATTGACATATTTCGTCATATCCAATGACAGAATTCTCCTCCACTTGTCGAAGTCCCTCACAAAGGCAACACGATTGTCCGGGGACTGGCCCCGAACGCATTGCTGCTAATGCGTCACACCTGGCGCGTTCTGAACATTTTTGCCTGTGCTCCGGGGAGTAATTCTTGCTTGTAAAAGAATGAAACTGTGGCAACCGGGTTTTTGCGGTGGTTCGCCTATTCTTAGTATGCATTTCACATGCACTTTTGCGCGATATGGTACGCCTGCATCCCTCGCCACAGTTTTTGCAGCACAGTGCCGTGGGCATGCTCCAAACCGGGACCGCATGAGTATGCAGTAGAACGGTCAGTCAAAGGAACTTGTGCCCTCGGCTTGTCCCATCAGTTACTGCATCGTTACTCATTTGCTCATGCCAACGCACGTTGGAGCGTAACAACGCGGTGTGATGATGCAATTAATGAGGCCATCGATTTCAAAAGAACATCATGCTGAGCATCCAGTGTCAAAGGGAAGCAGATCGTTCCACCAGATTCCCACTGGCTCACCTCCAGTCGGCAATGTCTCGGCCTGCAAACCAAAAACCGAAACCTGCTTCGCCGCATCGCGCACCCCGCGCATCCCGCAAGTCGCACCCCGAGTTCCAAACCATCGACGTCCAGCCCCACAGAAACTTCTGTGCCAAGACGTCCTGCGCAGTGCAGCTCCAACCTCCCCCCTCTCTGCGGGGGACCGTCAACTCCATGCCCGGCTTCCTGAGGTTGCTCGTCCTGGCGCTCATGCTGTGGGCCGCCTTGCCGGCGTGCGATGCCCAGGTCGGCTCCTGCAACACCAACGTGCGCGTGGACGGCGGCATCGTCAACGTCAATGGTCAGACGTCCATCGGCAACATCGACTGCGGCGACCTCACGAGGAACGCAACCGAAGACACGGCCGTCACCAGCGGGGGGAACGCAATGATCGAAGGGACTTCGGTTGGCGGGGTCGAGGAGGGCGGGGGAGGATCCGGCAGGAATACGGCGGTAGTTGTGGCTGGCACCGTGGGGTCTGCCGCGACGTTCGGCCTGTTTGTGCTCGGCGTTTGGCGCTGCTGGCGCAAGCGCAGGCCTGCGCTCCCTAGGGAGGGGGACGTGGAGAGAGGGAGGGGATGGTAGACCTGCACCTGAGGGCGGATCGGCCGGCGACCTGGGAGATGTACACCTCACTTCACGGCCACATGTGGCCGCCTGCCTGGATGGCCAAACCACGGTTCTGGGTTTTTGGTGTGAGCGACATGTTGGGTGTGTCGTGCTTGGGTCGTTGTGTCGTTGGGCCACGGGACAGATGGGCTGTGAGGGTGGCGACGGAAAGCCGTCGACGGAAAGCCTTGGGCAGCGCACCTGTTCGGCACCTCCGCATTTCCTTCGACGTTCTGCACGCAGGTTTGCCCTGCACCCGTTGCCGGGGAGTGACCAATCTGGAACGCAGTAACGCGCGCTGAAGATCGCGAAGTTTCCACGGCGCTGGCAGCACGCGTAGGCTGCATGAGTCTCCAGGTACCTGCCGACCGCTGCAAGCCGCCTCCTCACAGCACGCCTGAACTCCTGGCTGCCCTGGCTTCCTGACCCAACTGGAGACAGCAACGGAACCAACAGCCAGTCGACCGCCAACCCTGTCAAGCCATGACTCTGCAAGGACATCAGGGGTGGAGGAGAACAAGGAAGTGATGGGCCCAGGTACCTTCTCTAGAGGTATCTTCGCCCGTCACAGGCTTGTGACCGACCCTGTGGCATCGGCCCAGAGGTGATTTGTGAACTCGGGCTGGCTGTTCCAGGCCGAGGAGTAGGACGCTCACGTCCATATTGGCCTGCTGAGGACGGCAGTTGGATGCCAAGCTTGCCTGTGAAACTTCGTCATGTGCCAGCAAAGTTTGCTGAAATGTCAAACCGGGAGGTGGGTGTTCGTCGCTGGGGCTCTTGAACACGCAGAATCCAAACTTTGGTTGAGGATATGGAGGCCAACAACGCACGGCCGTGCTGGCTTCATGAGTGGCCTTAATCAGTTTGGAATTACGAAAATGTGCTGACAGATGCAGTTAAGTGGAAGCTTTTAGGAACAATCAACCAGTCCACTAGCGCAGCAAATAAGTGGGCATTTGCTCTTCAGCCATGTTCAAATTTGGCAGCTGGTCATTGACAAAGCCCGTGAGGCAATGGGGCCAGCAACGAATCGATATGTCAACGCCACAAGCACCTGTGCCCTGCAACCCAATGCTGGGCGAAATGTGCACGGCCGCCAACATGAAGGGCGAGTTGGCAATGTGGAACCTGGGCTGTCGCGCTGACCCAAAAGGCACTGCTGAACACAATCTCGTGCATACCAAATGGAGACAGTGCTAATGCACACAAAACGCAGCACTGCGCCAATAGCCCAATCGTTGTTGCCAACATTGTCTGAAAATGTATCACAACGGTCACACCGATTTCGAGCAATTACACAGACCAACTACCCATCGCTGCTCAGAAGCGTGGCCAAACGCGTAAGGGTTGCACCCAGAAGCAACTAATTGCAGCTTCCACCAGGAGCAGCGACCCTTTTAAAGAACTGGGTGCCCAGGCCATCACTTTCTATCCTCTGAGGGCAATTTCTTGAAGTGCCTGGAATCGCATTACAGGCCCTTTGTAGTCAAACTAACAGCCCTGCTGAGCACAGGCTGAACATCTGTTGATAGCAGAAACTTGGCTCATGGCCACCGGTGAATGCCCCAGGGATCTTCAGAGTATATTTATTCTGGTGAAATGCTGAACTTGCAGATGTTCTTGTGTACACCCTTCCCAACATCAGCATGGCCTGCTTCTTCCTGCCACAACAGTGCTTGCAATCCAATCGGTGTGTCTGCCAAAATCCCTGTGGCCAGCAGCAGCAGCAGCAAGCATACAGACGAGCAGCTGCCCATGGTAGTATAAAAGGCATACCTTCAAAATCCCTCAAAATGGTCAGTGGCACCTCAGGGGGCGTGCCTGAGCCTCAACCGTCATGCCTTTTCTTCCTCACCATTGCGGGAAAAAAGAAAAAGAAAGTTGTTTTGTCCATCCGTTGCTAGTCAAAATCCCCTTGTTCCCAAACAGGAGGTCTCTCAAGTGCGAGACTCTGGGTGTCATGCAGTGCACAGTGCACTGGTTCTATATTGGCATCTGCTGTTCGCCATTCTGTACAATTGTACTCTCCGCACTCCAAACAGTCCAGGTCCTTCAGGCCCTATACAGATAATCAGTTAATCGCCAGGCGAATAAGCCCAGCCAGTCAATGAACCCTTTCCCAAGCCCTCAAATAAACTTCCCAGGCTACATTTCTCTCAATCTGCAATCGAACCGAATCGCCGTTGGCAATCCAAGAAGTAGAAGCCACTCAGCTCCCAAGGTCACTCTCCACATACCAATCACCAATCTCCTTCCTGCATTCCATTCCAACCAATCCACCTTGGTACAGCCTATCCCATCTGCCTTGTCAACCAGGCTGGCTCTACTTGACAACTTTGTGCAGCACGAACGCAATCCCTCCCCAAACAACGCCCCTCACCACCTTTCGCCACCGTCGACGGCCGCTCTGCCTCCCACCCGCCAGGCCACGCGTCTGTGAGTCTGTTGCCTCGCCTGCACCAGATTCTTCCAGAAACTTCCGGAAGGCATGCTCTGTGGCTTGCATCGCAGCCCAAAAGGCAGTCTTCATGGCAAGGTTGTAGGCCATGGGCCGCATCTTTGGGTCGTCGTAGTACACAGAGGTGAGTTCCACTGCAGGAGTGCTCAGGCCTTGGCGGCTCTTGGTGGCTCTGGATCAAGCACCACACAGTGCGTCAACATTGGAACATGACTTTGATGCAAATCAGCAACAATTATGGCAACTTACTCCAGCAAGTAGTAGTTATGATTGCCTACCTTCAATCTCACTTTCCTCCCTACAAGTGCCATCTTTGTGTTTCCTATCTTGCTGTGTAGGCTTTGTGGCACTGCCCCATGTGAGGCGATCGTCATTGCATGGTCATCCAACAGTGTGGATGCGTAGATTCTTACCATAACCAGCAAGGTGTGCAGGCGTTGTTGAGCCAAACAGAAATTGTTAATTTTGTTGTTCCACATGATTCCAGGAAACTTGCATTGGTGCTTTGCAGTGCTAAGCAATACTGTGTGTATTACAATGCCAACTACAATATAATACTGTGTGTATTACAATTACCAAGTGCAAGGCTGTTGGGGTTCTCCTCCAATGGGAATTCATCGTCTTGACACCAGCAACCAACATTTGACTGTAACCAACGTGTGACGGTGCTTGCATCAGAAAATATTCAGCCGAATCTGGGTCCAAGTTGACTCCCTCGGCCTGCGAAGGCAGCACCAAGATCGCTATCCACACCAGCAACGATGTATGCATGCACAGCATGGTATTGTATATGGTATTGCACAGTGCAAAGATCAGCATTACTCACAAGCCCCCGATGCCCTCCTTTAAAATTGCCAACTTCTTGCCAAGAATGAAGATCCCAACACCTGGTGAAACCGGATCATAACTCACCGGATTACAGATCCAGATGTGTACTCATCCACCCTCACAGTGCGCCGCTTGTCGAGAATGCTGGGATGGGTCGCCGACTTGGTGATCCAGTAGCATCCCCCGTCAGGCTGGTCCCACACACGACGTGCGCATCCATACACCCTATTGCACATTGGCCCTGGCATACGGGCCCTGCAAGACAAATCGAACCAGGATTTGAGTACACATCGAATCGAAACAAACAAGCATTCGAGGGACTTCCAAGGGGTCTGTGGGTTTGATGGAAGTGAATATTGGTGTCTGCGGCATTGGGAAAGGTGCAGTTGCCATGGGCAGCTTTGAAACAACTGCAGTGCTGGGAAAAACTTGAAAGTGCTGAAGTGCATGCTCTTCAACAGAGCCACACCATGACGACGGAGAGTACCTTGGTGCTGGCAAGCAGGGATGAGGTGGTAACAAGTGCTGACAAAAAACAACTTGGAGAAGGGTTGACAGGAGTACATTACAGAAGATACTCCTTGAAGCTGCCAAGGTTGTGGCTAGATTTTCACAAGGAACACATCTCACCAACTGCCAACCTGATTGGTGGGCAAAAATTCGGCATTGGTGCAACAAATCGCCCATTCGCACCGTCCCTTCTTCTGCCAAAATAATGCTACAAGCTGAAGCTGAGTAGCAGCACTGCAAAATGCTGTGAAATGGGCCAGCTGGTGCAGCCTAAGCAGTTTGATGCCTTCTGATGGATGGCTGGGAAAGGGATGGCAGGTACACGTAAATGGTGATGAGATTAAATAACCTACTCGTGAAAGTAGAAGCATGAGTCCGTCTTTGTGCTGTTGTCCGATGCCTCCTCTATTCTCCTCCACTCCTCCATAGACCAGTCCCAGCTCTTTCGACTGGCAGTGTCCATGTTGAATGTTCTGAACTGAGCTGGGCTGCAGTCCTCAAATACTGCATTGCAAAGGTTCCCAGTCTGAAAATGCATGCACACGTCCATTCTGATGGCCTTGTCAAGATGTGGCAGGTGACTGCACCAACAGGACGATATTGAGAAATAATACTATATACTATCTACAGGATGATATGAGAAAGCCTGGAGGTAAAACTGGATCGACATTTGGCTGCAGCACTTGTAGCTCGTGCAACAGAACACATGGCCACAACCATCGTCTTGGTTGTGCCCACGTGCAGATTCAACCCATGTTTCTGTTTTGAGCATGATTATATTCTGAGTGAGGAAAGATACTCTGAAGGGAACAAAAGGATGGAACAATGCCCATCAATGCCGTGGCTGCGCACGGCAGTGCTTGATCACTTCTTTATAACTGTCAATGCAAAACGCAACACTGCCTTCCAGAACAGTACGAACGTTCCTTCAGTGGAGAGGTGGACTGTGCTGCAGGTGACTGGAAAACATCCAACAGTGCACGGGCTCATCAGCAAAGGAAGCGTTTGGCGTTTTGGGCACAAATTATCTTCCTACAAAGTGCACTGATGCGCTCACAGGGCCTATGATGATGTTGAGGGACATGCATCGGCCAGATCCACTCATGCAGTGAACAACTAATATTCAAGTCAATGAAATGCTTGAGGCATAGAATGGTAAGTGGATTGTGTCGATGGATTTTCCAGTTTTGCTTCAAGTGTTTTGACTGATCGTTTTATGATGCACTGTTGAGTGATGCGATAGCCATTGCATGGAAGCTATGAGTCTGAAACTGCAACATGGAACAGCCAACCAAGCTCAGGCAAATGAACCTGGTGTTCTTCAATACCACATAAACTTATGAACCTGTGACTGCAAACACCACGCATAGACACACTCATGTCCCCATACTCCTGGACATAGCACGAATTAGCATGAGCACAAAACTCACCAGTTGTCGTCCTGTACACAAACAGCCCATTCCTCCAGCGCCGTTTGCTCGTCTCAAAAGTGATGCCCTGTCGGGACTTCACCACAGGGTTGCTCCAATTGCTGTCCCATGTGCCCTTCTCCCGAAGCTCTCCAAACAGAGCACATGGTTGCCCAACTTCCCCCGTTCTCCCAAGCATCTGGAGCGCCTTTACTGCTGACTTCTCGCCCATCAGCTCACCAAGGTGCAGCAAGAAGATGTCGGGCACAGCTTTCTTCAGTCTATGTGTGTGGCTGGCATTGAGTGACTGCAGTGCTCCGACGCAGTCATGCCCATTCGAAAGGTGTTTTATGCTCCTGTATAAACGCAAGCTGGGCAATGAGATGCTGTGGGGGCCATACTAAGCTTGGCGAAAGCCATGATGCCTCATGAGCCAAACTACCAACTCAAGCACCCATCTCTCCCTGGCCAGCACATCCGCAAAAGCGATCCTGAAACAATCTGCCCTTTCTACAAGCCATCTCGACCTCTGGTCGACCTGCAGCTATCCAGCTGCATTCACACTCAACTACAGAAACTGCCATGCACGATCACGAGCAGCGGCACATGTGGCTACTTGCATGCTGACAAGGTCACAACCAAACGAGAGGCTGCGGCGAAACTCTAGATTGTCAGCCAAAACGACAGCAACTGTTGCTGCAGGCAGCCTCATGGCAACTTGAGAACATCCCCAGTCTCCCTTCTCCTAGACACTCGCTTTGCTATCACAAACAATGTATAAGTGAGCCTCCATCCAGGCCTCGCATAGGCAACCTCCTGGGAAGTGGTGTACTGACAATGAGGCCAACAATCAGGGCATCCAATCAATGGCTTGGTCTTGTTCACTGAACATCATAAGCTCCTCAGTTGCTAGTGCACCCTGGACCCCAATAACCACATGCTGAAGGACCCATAGGTTCCGCAAACAGTTTAGCACATCCATATTAAGTCTGCACTGCCTATCAGGTGAAAGGTCAGAGGGGCTGTCATACCCCCTGGAGAACTGTTTCATACAATGATTCATGATGCATCGACTGGTGCTCACAACTGGCAATACTGGGTGTCCATACTGCATTCCAACTACAACGATTCTTGCCACACAATTCCACGCGGTACCTGATATCTGCTTCTGTTAAGTCTTCAAACTCGCTTGTAAGGTGCGCTTGCCTTGGTACCTCTGTAGAGGCATCCAACAGCCACATAAATGCAAGGTGAGGCAATTGAGTTCAGAAAAATCACTGCTGATTATCCATGTCCTTTCTTGCTGCTTTGCGTGGTGCTTGAGTCACAACATCACCAAATCACCAAAAGTTCTGGACCGCTGATTTCCATGTGGAGCACCTGAAGCCATGTTTCCATTCACACCACAAAGATTGAGGAATGGCACCACACCGGCCAAGACAGTTCAACATATTGTGCAACTTCTGGTTCAGCCTTGAAACACTGATTCAACACTTGTGAGCACTGAAGATGTTGAAACCATGCTGAGCATTGTGAAGTGCACTTTCGCTTTCCACCCACGGCAACCCAACAACAGATGAGCACACAAAACAACGTTGACCACCAAGCCAGAATCCTCCCACAGCTGTCAATCAAATGCCCACAGGTGGGAGATGAGACACGGAGGGACTTTGCAAACCCCTCAAGTATAACTGCAACGGCGCCATGAAAGACTGAGCAAAGGGCACACCCTTCCATCAGGGACGCTTTCAAATCGAAGTGGCGACTGGTGTGCGTCCAATGGTTCACCCTTCCCCCCCAAAGCACGTACAAAAGCTTCACACTCATTATCTCCGGGTGTGAGGGGTGCCCTTCCCATGACACACCTTATCTGCTCTGCCACAAATCTTCCCACCCACCCCCAGAGAAGGCAGCGACAATCGCCCTCACCTTCAGTCACACTCGCCGCGGGGCTGGACCACCCCAGGCGCCCCGCCTTGGAGCGCAGGTACAACACCCCCAGCAGGAACACAAGCAGCAGATCCCGCGGCAGCCTCCTCACTTTCTGCGCACAACGGGGGAGGCGAACTGGCGTAACCACCGGGAGGGGAGAACCGGCCAGGCGAGCGGGAGCATTCAATCCGATCGGCCCAGGCGCCTGAGCGCCAGGGATTTTGGAGAGGGCCGCGGTTGAAGTGTGACTTTCGCTTGTGGGGTGCATCCATTCCCGGAAGTTGCGGATCGGCGGATATGAAGATGCGCTCATCGCCCACTTGAGCGCGTTTCTTCTGAAGAAATTTGTGCAGGCTGACGAAAGCGCCGGGCCCTCTTAGAGCACATCCATGCCCGAAGCAGCGCACGTGCATATCGGGCGACACAAGGACAAGCCCGTTCTCCATTTTTCAGGCACTTTCCCACGAGGAAACTTGGGCAGCCTGGGGAACAGCCCCGGGCGACGTGTTTTTCAGCGATCGGGTGCCCGACCCTGCGCGGATCTCGTCGTTGGGCTTTGGGAATCCGAAGGGACGTCTGGGTGGGCAGCCAGACCCACCGGGAATCAACGCACCTGGCTCCACGACGAGCCTTCCTCCTCGCCTTCCTCCTCGCCTTCGCTCCCCGTCGGCGGCCAACTGCGGCACGGAGGAAGGAAAGGATCGGGAATGGAAAAGGAAAAGGAGCGCGTTCGACTGGTGGGCGCCCTCATGGCTTTCAGGCTTGGGCCCTCTCGCATATCCACCAACAAGCAAGCCAACATCGACAATCACTCCAAGGCCCCGGCTGGGCGTGCATTCGCCATGCTCGATCTCCCGGCCCATCCGCAAGACGGCCGCCGCCGCGCATACCCGCGCACCGAGTTTCCAGGACGGCCGCGGCGCCGTCCCAGTCTCTCTCAATCATCCCCCGCTCCCCTCCTAAGCAACCTCAAAACCAAGCTTCCCCCACTCGCCCGCTTGCACCCAGCGCAAAACCCTTAGACGCCCACCCCAAAACCAATTCGCGCTATAAAATGCCCCCCCTCCCCTGCCCCAAGCAACATCCTCTCAAGTCCCCTCGTTTCTGCTGCCCAAAATACCAACGCCTCCTCCACATCGCCAATCCCCCGCTCCCGCCGCCAATCGGTTCCGCATCCGATCGCCCACTCACCCCGTTGCCCAACCGTCCACGAGCATCAGCCACGCAAACAACCCCACCAGCAGGGCAGGCCCGGCCATCCCCAGCAGGCGCTGCGTCAGGGCGCGCATCCCGGCCCCCTTTCCCGCCGCCGCCATCTCCGACGAGCGCAGTCGAGTTGCCGTTGTGCGCCTACCGCCGGTGGAGTTTTTGCATCGCGGGCGGCTTGGCTGACCTGCCGGGTGGGCTGTGCTTGATACGCACAGCTGGCGTTGGCACGGGGTTCTTTTGTGCTTTTGAGGGCGTTTTGCGCCTGGGCTGGGTGCCAGGGGGGCGGGGGAGATGGTGACGTCGGCCCGGTGATGTTCCTGCTGAATGCCTTTGCCTCCCTTTTGATGCTGCCCTTGGGTATTTTGCCTTCGGCGGCATGAATTTCGCAGTCTCGTCTCCGTTTAGATCCCTTCTGGTTTTGGACAAAAAAAGCACTGACCCACTGACGGCAAGAGATTAGTCGCTCTGTCTTTTCGTATGGATCCCATCATGTTTCCGGACACCCTAAACCCTAAAACCTAAACCCTAAACCCTAAAACCTAAAACCTAACCCTAAAAGCCATTCGCCCGCTGACCGGCGTTGGCCTTGTCAACGGAAGAATAAGGGATGGTCGCGGCAAAGACAGAGGGACAAATACATTCTCGATATGTGTTTGTTGCTGGATGCCTTTGGGCATTCCAACTTTCGACATTCCTGCCTTTGGGCAAGGATTTCAGCGAAGGAATTCGCGGAATATCACTGGGCCAGGGCCGGGGATGGAATGTGCATTTTGTGATGGCGGGGGCGTGCAGTTACGTGTTTCACTATTGACACATTGGTCAGTTTTAAAAAATTGTGAAGTGCTGTCCGTTTCAACGTAATTACTAAGGAACAGGGCCGGTTCGATCTAACAGAGGCTCCGTTTTGTGACCGTCCATTTTTCGTTCGGGACCTGCGGCTGCATGCTCTTTCAGCTTGGTTGGATTAAGTACTAATATTTCACATAAAATAGTGGACAAAATAGCTAACAAATAGTTAATTTGTAGCTGCTTTTTCACTATTTTACTTCCACTTGAAGTAACAGTTAAAAGCGAACGTGAACAACTGTTTGGGCGCTCACGGTTGTTATAAGAACAAATGCGTGGCAAATCCGCAAGTTTTGTGCAAGCTGCAAGAAAAAAGATCTCCAAAATTTTTCGAGAGCACCGCATTCCCCCACCCCATTTAGAGATAACATCTGCCGCACAAAGATCATCGTTTCCGTCAGTATCGAGCATCGACGATATACACTCCACAGGCCTTTCCCACCCGTGTATATTGGGTACCCAAGCACCTGTGTTCAGCGCACAAGAACTTCCTCTGCATAAAAGAAATGAAACGACTGCTCTGGTCGCCAGTTGCTCCTTAGACAAATGTTTACGGGCACAGGGCTACGAACCTGAACGAGTATCGCTGTGGCTCATATCCATGTTCGTTGCGGAAACAAACGAACAATGCAACGCAAACGGACACTGTGCTTTGGATTAATTGGCTCAGCGCAAGCTTGACATCGTGCAGGACGCAAGGGCCGCGGTGTGTTATGCTCGCTGTTCTTGGCAAACATAATAATAGCATTTCAGTGACCTGTATTCGTATTCGAGGTGTTCTGAGACGCTGTTGGGTGCTAGAGGCAAGGAGTGAGACGAGTGAATGTGCGTGTCCCTTGCGCAGAAACGCGAGCATCGTTTTCATCAAGTGCAACTGTTGTTATAACCTTTTCAGCTGATGAAATATTTTTCCCTCTGTTTGAGGGGTTTGTGACCAACCACCCACAATTAATAAAAGCAAAGTGTTGGACACACATGACTTTGTGCTGTGACTGCACGCGAATACTACTAGGCATCATTTGAGTGTGTTTGCCACATAAAAGTATGACAAAAGTATTGCAAGTGGTTCTTCAAGGTGATGCCCGGCCTCCCGTTAGGCCCATCATCCCCTTCAAGGCCCACTTCCTATGCTAACTCCATGCACATGGCGCAATGTTCATTCATGTTCACCCAGACCCCTCCGCACTCCGATGTTTCGCCAGCGCCCACACACCCCACCCCCAAATAGGAAAGAACGCATTTGCCACCATTGGAGTTATTTATACTATCATGCAGAGGAAGACATCCATGTTCGGCGTTGAACTGCTCGTGTATACATGAGCAGTGCCGGGAGCCTGTAGTTGTGCGTACAAGCACAGGCTCCCGGCAATTGTTAAGAACACACCTGCATGTGGGCACAGCAGTTGATCGCATTTGCCGCAAAGGCGCAACACATTCCTCTGGCACCAGCAAGACGGACGCGAGTCCTCAGGGAGGGCTCCTCACATGGATCGCCCGAATGCGATCTCCAGAAATGCCATTTCCAAACCAAACGCAAGGATTAGTCACCAACTTCTATAACATTTATTCATCATTTAGAACTGAGCTCACTGTCCACAGCCGAGTTTGAGCTGAGCTACGGCTGGCATCGTTGAAGCAATAGGGGAGTAGCGCATTTGCCTAGGATCGTGCTTCTGTGTCTGTGGGCATACTTTACCAATGAGAACCCAATGGACATTTTAGGAACAAACAGCGGCTTTGGCCTACAATTTTCTTCACCTTGTCAACGCGCCGGGTCGATGTAGAAGGGAGGTGGAATGTCATAGAAGAATTTTCACAACGTAGTCCATATTATGGTTCATAATATGGTGCATATAACATGGTCCATGGAGTATGGTCCATATTCCGTGTTGGGCAGGGGTGAAGTTGTTCTTATTTTCTGTCGAAATTTCAACATGGCTGTATGGGCAACGCACTGACTCAGCACTGCAAGTAAACATCATAATCCTGTTTGATGACATTCGTCGTTTGTCAAATACCAACAGTCCTTTCATAAGGATGGGGACGCTGGGGCCTGGCCTCAAGCTTGTGCGTTTGGGTGTCCCTTGTTCGTCACTCGTATTCATTTTCAATCACCCCTGTGTAATGATGGTCAACCAAATCCGATTGTTGATGCCAATGGCGAGCTTCGCCGGCTGGCCAGCCCCACGCCATGGCACAAAGCAATCACACATGAGCGCGATAATCTGCATGCAAACACTACCAGTGCATGCACACATGGAACAACTTACCTGTAAGCATGCATGCGTTCATGCACGTGCACATGCATGGAACAAGTTTACATGCATGTGTTCATGCATGGGCACATGCAGGGAACAAGTTTACATGCAAGTTCCACAATAGCGCCCGACTGCGCGCACACCCTCGCACGCCCACACCGTCCGCAACTCGCTCTGGCACAGCGCCCGCCCTCACTCGGTGGTCTTCCTCAGCACTCTCCCCGGAACACCCCCAGCTTGCCAAAACTGTAGCGCATGCACGCCAGCTCCCAGTCGCTCACCCGCCGCCTGCCCAGCCCCTCCCCGCCGAACGCCTCTCGCCAAAGCGCGCCCAGCACGCCCCGATCCCTCAACCTCGCAGCCACCAGCCCATCTAGCACCAAAACAAAGTCCCTGCCCGAAAAATTAGCCAGCCGCTCCGGTTTAACCACCTCCTGTAACAGGGGATCGAGTACCCCAGCCTCTGCAAGCTGCAGCTGGGTAAGGCCGTACAAAACCGACGCCAGGCTGCGCTCGTCGAAGCTTCGCACCCTAGCCCCCCTGGTGGCCTCCATGCCCAGCTTCCAGGCCGCCGGGTAGTTGCGAACGCCCAGAGATCCGAAGGCGAAGATCACATGAGCGAGGTCCTCACTGGTGAAAGATCTCAGCCGTTCTGGGCGGGATGCCTCCGATGCCAGTCGGCCGACCACGGCAAGATCGGCGTAGCGCAATCTGCGCAGGCCGTCCGAGATTGCTCCTAGCTGAGCGGCGGTCAGGTTTGGTGCGCGCTCCGGCTTCAGGCACTCGCTGGCCAGCGCGTGGATAACGGACGGTCCTCGCGGACCCAGGCGCCCCACACGGCCAAGGCCGAGGATGATGAACCCAAGGTGGGATTCCCTGAGACTGGCCAGGCGCCTGGGGGTGGACAGTTCGGCTCCCAGGGAAGTCATCAATTCTCTGAAGGAGTCGAAGGGATCGTTGGCGCGAGAGAAGGGCGCCGATGCGACTGGGGCCGATGTGGCGGACTGGATCATTGCCAGTCCGTGCAGCAGGGCGCCGAAATCTCTGCCCTCGAATCGCGCGGGGGAGAGCCTTGGCAGGGTGATGATGGATTGGGCGAGGAGGGTTAGAAGGGGGCGATCGATGAAGGCCATCTTGCCGCAGGCGTGGACGACATCGACGACGTGGCGCGGCTGCATCTGGGGCTCGAGGCGCATCGCGGAGCGGCACAGCTTGTGGAGCAGGGCCTCCGGCGGGCGGGTGGGCATGCGCTTGAGGCAGTTGAGAGCGGCGACGACCTGGGGGTTTGTGGCGCGGGGCGGCGTTGAGCCCCGTTGCAGTGTCAGTGCTGTGCAATGGGGTGGCAGTGTGGGGTGCGGAGACCAGTCGTGTGGGAGGGCCAAACCAATCCCCTCTTCGTTTGTGCGGGAGCTCCTCAGTTCGTATCAATGCAATTGGAATTCAAGAAAAAAATCCCCGACTTTTGCGACTGTCAACACACGACTGAGCCGACAGTAAATTGGAAAATTGGCAATTGCAATCAATGCAGATCTCCAGTGGTGGTCTGTTGCTTGGCACACTCACAGGCGACGTGCATAGCTGCCGCATCCATTCGCTTGTTGTAAGAAATATTACCCAAAAGGTGATACAGAAGTTCTGGGCACCACCATATGGCGATGAACATGTTTCGCTGCATGCACACAACAACTGATGGGAGCACAATGAACAGAAGGTGAAGAATAGGTGAAGCACAGGTGAAGATCAAGTCAAGCATAGGTGACCATTCATGGAAAGGACCTGGGTGAGCACATGTACACATCCTCACACAATGTGTACTCCCATGAAAGGGATGCACAGCAATTTTTACCTGAGTGGCCGTCAGCCGATTGCCAAGCCGTTCAATCGTTGACTGGACGTCCTTCCAGTCCTTCATAACGCGGAAGACGACAAACGTGGATTCCGTGGAGAACGGCGCCGCCGCTTTCAACAGAGTGGGCTGCCCCCGGAGTGTGGATGCCATCGATCCAGAGAGAGCCCACGCCACCAGCAGCAGCGGGGATGGTGGGGACTCCAAGGGGTGAAGCTAGAGAGCACAAGGCAAGGTGGGCAAGTTTAGCAAGCACGGGGCCACTGTGGCACTTGTTGGATTGGCAAGGTGCTGGACGTGGCGACAAGGCTTGTGCAGACCACACTGGAGCAAACCAAGCACGGGGCCACTGTGGCACTTGTTGGATTGGCAAGGTGCTGGACGTGGCGACAAGGCTTGTGCAGACCACACTGGAGCAAACCAAGCACGGGGCCACTGTGGCACTTGTTGGATTGGCAAGGTGCTGGACGTGGCGACAAGGCTTGTGCAGACCACACTGGAGCAAACCACACTGAAAGTGCAGCGGATGTCAAAGGGCAGCACCAACTGCCTCTGGTGTCAGTTTTGACTTGGTTTTCTTGAGTTGCAAGACATTGCCGTGGCATCGTCAAGACGATGGCAGGCATACTTTTCTCTACAAAGTTTGGCCCACAACACCTGCTCGTTTCGTCTCTTGGGAGGGGAGTCATCCATGTCAAGAATGTTGGAAACCTGTGTGCGGCCACCCAAGCCTGCAATGGGCCCTACAGCTGGCAACTTGAAAAATAGATACTCTTGAATTTGCTCTAAGACTGACAAATAATCATATTCCATCTCATTCCAAGAAAATGAGCACGTTGAAAATCCATCCAACATGACCCTTACCAAGATGGCATTGGTAGCATATGTGACATGATGCTGCTTAAACTTCCTTGCCGACAGAAGGGGACGAGAGCAGTGAGGGCAAAGTGTGGCAACAAACAGCGGCAAGAAGGAAAAGGTTGAGAGAAGTGCTGTTGGGAGGCCTGTGTGCCAGAAGATTCCAGCAAGCAATGCAGCTTGCAGCTGGGTGCAAGCGTTGTTGGACGAAAACAGATCAAAGTGGTGCATCATGGCCTCCATCAAATTCTTGGTTGCTGCACGAGGACAACAGCCACATGACAGGGATGGATGGCGCCCATATCACATTGCACCAGCACTCTTTTTCCCTGACTGTCCAAGTCGTTCTAACAAACAGATTAGGTGTGCAGCAACACGACAGAGAGGGTGCTGTGCTTTCGGTAACAGCTGCAGCCAACAGCAACCTCTGTGTAGTCACATGCAATCACTCGATTCGAAACAAAAAAAAATGCGCATGCACACATGCACAACTCCCAAACAAGAGAGGCCGCCATTAACAGTGTTGTGCACGCATTGCAAGTGTGGTACCTACGAAGACATTGGGACAGAGGAGCTGAGGTCACTCCTCAGCAATTGCTTTGCTTCGCACCACAGCGGTTCCAGAAGACTGTGCTCTGTGGTAGCCTCCAGACATTGGGCCCAAACAGATCAAAGTGCTGGGACATTTGGATATCAATGGCAGACATCCTGTGGCAACAGTTGCAGCACCAAAAAGCAGCACAGTTTAGCTGGACAAGCTCTGCAGCAGCAGCAGCCAACGTTGCGAGCAGCGAAGGTTGCACAAATATGCCTAGCCTGCATGCACTTCATTGACATGCCAGTCATCAACCATTGACGATTCCCAATGACATGATACTTCAACAATGATGCACACGATTCCAAGATTTTGTGAAAAGAAGACACGAAGATACCACACCGTAGAGTGCACAGCGCAAAAGAATTTCAGCAATACGTCGATCGATGCACTCCATTTTGATTCAGCACTAGCTAGTTTTTACCATACTGATATTGGAGAAAGTGACTTTTGGGGATGTCTGGATTTGAGGTAGGATTTCATGCATGGCATTGTATTGAGGCGACATGGCTGCCACATTGCATGCAGGAATAACGATGCAGTTGCTTTCATACACAGGCACCTTGTGCGATTGGGAAATACAAGGCAACATTTGCCTTGGGTGGAAGCATGGATGGATTTTGCAATACACAACAGCAACACCAGCAGCAGCAAATGTTCAACTCTTGGATGCACAACAGGGAGGACAACAATTGTCGAATTGGATGGGTCCGCATTGATACCGATATTTGCAGTGCCTTGTGCACCCTGAACACATGATTTTCCAATTCTGACGTGGTGCAGGAATCAGCGCACCAAACATGCATCCAAAGGCAGACAAGTTTCACACAACGTCTCACAATGCCCCAAGGGAAAGCAGACTGCAGGCAACAGTCTCCCTTTCAAAGCCAGCAACTCGCCCCCATTGCAGCAGCAATGCCAATGGGGTGCCCAGCGAGTTGGATGTGCGCAAGAGGAAGCGTGCCAAAGTCTGAAAACAAAGCACAATGACCTTCGGCTCTGGCCCCCGGCCAGCCCTCCCTATCTTCAAAACCCCCCAACCTGAGGATGTGGCGTTTGCTGCCACTCTCTGCCAGAATCGTCACGTTGTACTGACACCTTGACAGCACATCTGACAACCACCTGACGGCTGAACGCTGGTCTGGAAACATTGAATCGCATCTCCACACAAGCGCGGTCATTCTGGCACGGCCCATCTTGTCCGCATCGGCACGGGGGTCCACAACTGGGGGCGAGGGGGCCTTGACCGTCGACTCATTTCGGCATGTTCGCCTCCGGGACATAGGGATTGTTGGAACAATGAGCGTCGAGGTGTACCACAACCCGACCCTGCCTTGTAGGTGCAGGCGTCTAGTTTGTGCCAGGGACCAGTTCAATCAAAGATAATAAATTCAGCCTTCCGGGAAAAGGCGGTGAACAGTCCGCACCTCGCAGGGCGATCCACAGGTTGACTCTGCGCACGATGGCTGACTTCAGGGGCGTGTTCATTGGCCGCTTGCTGTCTGCCGTCCGTTCGGCCCAGCGAGGATGGCGGCTGCAACGCCTCGACTGCTCTGGCTCCCCCGCTCGCGACGCAGGGAAGTGAACTATTTGGGACGGACGGACTGCACTGAGGGCGTGTATTATTAGCTGTTTGGTTGATTGATCTGATCTGATGCAACCTTGTTTGAGTTGCTGAGCATGGCATGGAATTAGCGAGTTATTGGCGTACAAATTGTCCTGTTCTATTGCTTAATGTCCAGGAGTCCACATGGAGAAAGCCGCCCCTTGCTGCAAGCACCACTGCACGACCCCCCTGACGTGTGACTAAGCCGGAACGGAGCCCTGAGCTGGAAATGGAGAACTGAGCTTGGAATTCGTCATCAGTAAGCTGTTTTAATTATGTGCGTTCGTTCTGGTGCAGAGCCAAGGCCGGGACTATGGATTGCATTGGCGGGCATTATTGACTTCATCATATTTTACAGATTTGATTGATTTGATTACTGGATCATTATGGAGGGGCGTACCTGGGACTGAACGTGATTGCTTGGGACTGGAATTGAGCCGGCTGTATGGAATGTATGACGTGTTGTACCGTGCTGGGGACAGGTGTTGGAGAGCTTGAGATGTCTGGGGACAAGCTCAGGGGTTCTGTACGGGGATTGTAGCTTTGGGGCCTCTCGAAAGGTGGCTAGGACAGAGGACTGGGACACCCCTTTCTCGTGTATAAATATGCATGGAACATTCTTGTAGACACACTCTTTCTGGGCCCACCGTCGCTGTTGTGCATGTGTCTTTGTTTCCGAACTGTCCTCGGACAATGTGTGACGCATCCCGTTTCACCTGCGGGGAAGGAGGCGACCGCAGTGTCTCCCGAAGTTCGGGACCGCATTCAATGCCCATCAGCCCGTTGTGATGGCTGGTCTGGCATTTACGGCTCTGCAACGAGACAGGCCTGGTCTGCGCCCGTCTGTAGCGGCTAAACTACGCGGGTTACCGCCACATTCGCGTTTCCTTGCCTTTCTATAATATTTCGGAAATAGTATTTTCCCACTTTTTACCTGCGGCCAGATCACTGAAAGATTTTTTAATTATCAATTTTACCCCAAGTGCTTTGTCAGTATGCATAAGTACTGGTTGTTATGCGGTAAAAGGCAGGCACCTGCTCATGCACCACTCTCAGCAAATGAACAAAATTGAAACGCCAGAATGACTGCAGTTTTACCTCTGGACCGTTAGTTAAAGTCGCGCCAGAACACTCGCCCCGTGTATTGTTGCCATTTCAGCAACAGCTATTTCATATGGTTTCATTGTTTGTATGTTCCATGGGCTGGAAGAACCACTGATGGAGTCGCCAATTGCCTCCGTTTGGGACAATGATGAGCTAGCAAGCGATGTGCAGCTTGTGCTGCGGACGGAGTCATATATCCGTCTTCAGAGGACAGGTATCCCCGCTGAGCTGTGGAAGACGCAAAAGAGTCTTTTGCTCCTTCCATACCTCAGCGTGGTTTTGACTTGGAATACAAAACAATAAACTATATATAAATTATATATAAATTCCCACTTTTACGCCTTGTTTGGATTGATGGTCTCCACCAGCGAGGGTGATGTTCCGCCCAGACTTACGTGCTGGGCTCTTCCTGCTGGGCCTGCAGCAAAGATAACACGTGTCATTATGTTAAAGCAGCCTCCGTCGCAGCTCCCCATCAGGGCTGGCGAGCTGCTGCCGCTACCTCGCCAATCTGAGGATCCAGGCCTTCCGCTTCCTCGCACAGGTGCTGCCGAAGCGAGGCATCTCAATTCAGTGTTCGTGAGCAAACAAGGCAGATCGTTGAAGCTAAATGTCTCCACCTTCTTGCAGCCCAGATTTCACGTCGATCATCGTGCAGCACCTCGGTTGAGGGATGGCAAGCCGTTTAGCAGTGGATTCAAATTTTCTGGAGCAGCTAGGTGCAATCCAGCCCGACTCATGCCACGATCGACCATACCTAGCTGAACCTGGGGATCAGCGTTTAGATTTTCAGCATGGGCGATCCTGGAGGGCTTGCAAGGGAGACCCTGTAACGATTTCTGGCACCTGAATGTCGCTGGTGTCGTGTCCGTGGTGACGATGGCTCAAACCGCCCGTGATCGGCACACTGGGTCACCGAACGGGCATTCCTTTGCGGCTGCGACACATACCTACGCTTCGAAAGCGCCCTAAGCTCCTTTTCTCACTACCGCTGTTCGCCAATTCCTCACGCAACTCACCGAATCAACATGCGAAAACAATGCAACGCCACGATTGCTTTGCAAGTCGCAAATCGGCGGGCCACATGCTGTATGTTTTAATGGGGCATTGCCCGCGCTCTCAGACTCGGCCCCTGGCACTTTCCCAAAGTCGATCGTTTGAAGCGATGGTACGTGGACGGCGCTTTGATGTTCACACACAAGGACGCTCTCCAGGGTGTCCGCGGTCAACGAGGTATACGTTATATTTTCGTCCAAAACAACAGCCCGGAGGTCAGCTTCCATGGTGGGTGGCTGCACCAAACACCTTGGATGCCCCCTATTTATACCCACCGCGGGCTGTCCCCCGTGTACGAGGGTCCTCAGGATAATCTTTGAGGATCCTCAGAATGTTCTCTGAGGATCCGGATCGATCCGGGTAGCGATATCACTATTAGCGCGCTTCCTAAATCATCCCATAGGGGAGACCGGTCTGTCCCATCAGCATCCCCGATCTCTATTGTGATCCGCTACTTGTCACACTCCCCCACGTCTAGGAAATAATATTACTGCCTGCACCAAATCGGTGACTGCTTGCACCAAGTCACGTGCACACTTTGTCCTAACCTCAGTTTTAGGGTTAGGTTTAGTTCAGGGTGAGTTTTAGGGTTAGGGTTAGGGTTAGGACAGGTTTAGGTTTAGGTTTTAGGGTTTAGGTTTTAGGTTAGGTTAGTTTTGACGGAGTTGGACATGATGTGCACGTGACTTGGTGCAAGAAGTCACCGTTTTCGTGCAAGCAGTCACCGATTTGATGCAGGGAGTAATTTTATGCCCACGTCTAGTGGCTTCCGCTGATCCTAGGATCAGGGCTATTCGCTCATAAGCCACTGTCAAGTGCGCCCCCCAAGGCTTTCCCATCAAATATACTATCCTTTTGCAACCGCTGGATGATAACCAGTTCAATGGATTCACAGGCTTTTGTCTCATCAAACAATCACCATCGTTCAGCATCATTTGCATCACGATGGCCAAAATGTGCCCTCGCCTGATCCCCCATGCCTCCGTCATGGGTTCCAGCGCCTCGATCATCATCCCCCATCCCTGGGAAGGCCATCAGAAGCGGGCCGCGCCTAGCAGTCCAGCTCGTCGTGGATTCCAGCGTACCTTGGGCTCATCGCAGCTCGTCGTGGGCATGCACAAACCATGCACAGCGAGGCAGGTCGCTTGTTCTCTTGCCATCCATCAGTTGTGACATAGCCTACATTTTCAGTAATCTAGCCATCACCGATCACGTTAATTTTGTGATGATGTGGCCCGCGCTTCCCCAGGATTTCTGCCTTTTCAAAGGTGCCTTTTGCCGTAATGTGCACCAG